TTCTAAAATATTATTTTAATAAAATGAAAAATAATGCCAGAAAAATATTTACGGAAAATATATTACAAACAACAGATAATAAACAACAACAAAATAAATGGGGTTAATACTGAAAAGTATTTAACAAAGTTCTTCTGGTCTTTGGTTCTTTGAGTCCAGTTCACTGTTCAATATTATGGGGTCTACTCACTAAGCTGCCGTAGGCAGCTGAGTGAATGACCGACCTGAAGCGAAGTGAGCCAAACGCTGTTCGGCTATTCACTTCAGGCTGTCACCTTCGGGAGCTGTACAGGCTATAGTGAATAGCCCCTACAGCAGCCCTTTGGTTCTACTGAACTGAAGGGGTCCTGGGGCCGAAGCTAGCCGAAATATCAGCTGAAACTACAGCTAGATCCTTCGGCTGCTTCGTGAATAAACCCCTATGTATTAAGGTTATCAGCACTCATGAATGACCCTTAGCAATCTGGCATGATTTCAATGGAAAATTAAAAGCTGTCAGCTGCCAATTGCAGCTCCTTTTTGTGGATCCTCTGTCTCGGAGCCAATCCTTGCAATCAAGAGAGCTGAGGGGTGGGAGGTAGGAGTGCTGAAGTGTTTGATTATACTTCAGTGGACACTCCTTAAATGTCACTTTTCTTGCTACATCAATATTTCTAGATGACCATGTTTTACAGTCAGACAGACAATCAACATTTTATTGAACAGAATGAAATCACAGTTTGATAGACATCAGACATGTTATAGATGTTATGCTTATTCTCCTTAGGAGATGTAATGTGTCTCATACACAATCAGGGTATTATGGAATAGGCATGTGTAATATCTAACTGATTGTTATTTTCTTTTACATGTTGGTAGACACTTGTTATGAATGTAGTTTTATCATATCAGTATTTATGAAATATAAATAGATTTAGGAGGAGGCAATTAAAAAAACATAACAGACTGAAATATGTATTCCTTCAACTGTTCTGCTAAAGCATTAGGGGCTCAGCTAGAGTTTTTTGACATAGCAATGGGGGTGCCACTGCATTCCATACAAAACCTCTTTCCTATCAGTTTGGGGTTCATCAGGCCTCAATTTTGTCACTGAAAAATGTCATGTAGAGCATATGTATTACACTGCTAGTGTGAATGAGGCCTTAGTGATTGGCGATTTTGTGATATAAGAGGAGTGGCAGCTGATTGTGTTCCACTGGAAGAAAGTGCAAAGCAGAAGCTAGTAATCGACTAGGGCAGGGCTACGCAACCTTGGCTCTCCGGCTGTGCTGAAACTACAAATCCCATAGGGCATTGCAAGCCACAGGCATGGCTCCCAGAGGCAGAAGCATGATGGGATTTGTAGTTTCAGCACAGCTGGAAAGCCAAGGTTGCCTACCCCTGGACTAGGGGATACAAAAAGAAGGGGCAGAGAAGGAGGAAATCAAACTGGGGAGAGAGGAAGCAAATCATTAGCTTATTATAGACCAGATATAAAGGAGGCAGAGTGAGAGCTGATCAAGGCTGAAAAGGGTGCATATTTATGAAATGGTATTTGTCTCCACTAGGGAAGTCATGGGACATCAGGATAGAGAAAACATACTGCAGAAAATCTTTCATTGTGGAGAATTTTGGACACACCAGAGCACTAAAGTGATGACAAGGCAGCAGCCAGTGGGCTCCAAGTTAAGGTATAATGTAGAGTAAGGCATCATTAGGATACTTCATTTGGTAGCATATCTGGCCTGCATGTCATGCTGTAGTCATGATGTAATTGGGTATGTTGATTACAGGAAGTCTGTAGTGTTAAATGTGCATACATGCTTGTCATTAGACCATAAGTACATTTACAACAGCAGAAATGTTTGTATCTTTGTTTTTTTTAATGTTTAATGTACCACAATTAAGTTCAGCATGTATTTATCTATATTCACTTAAAACAACCCCATGGTAATTTGTTAGTGACATTATAGTTTGCAGTTACGTTTTCCTTCAGGAGTTGATTTGGACAAATTTAGAAAGCAGTGAATGTCACATTCACCAAGCATTCCCTGCAGGTAAATCACTGTAACTTAAAACACATGCAAAAGTAAAATACACCTACAGTGAATGTTTGGTGAATGCCACATTCACGGCTTTATAAATATACCCCAATGTTTGTGTGTAACAACTACAGTTGCATTGTGCTGCTTTCAATAAATTGTAAAACTAAAGTCTTAAAATTATCTGGACAATTTATTTGTAGTTATTTATGGAGAAATATCCCCTCTAGAAAAATGATGTACAAAAATGTTAAATGTGCGCAACTTTATTCGATAAACAATCCTGCAAAGCAGACCATACTTTAGATTAATACTACAAACATAATCTTGGCTGTTCAATAAGACCATTGTAACCAATCAGATTTCATTTTATTGTAATCAGTTGAACATGAATTCTGATTGGATGCTGTGGGTTACTGCACTTTGTACCATGCTCTTTGCCTTATTAAACAGGCTTGTAAAAATACAGTTTCATATGACAAAACTAAGTACACACCTGAAATACACGCAGTTCTCGTTTCCTCTTCTGTCTTGGATATATCACCTACTGTACTCCAGAATATTTTACTACGTTCTCCATGTCGTCTTATGTGCAGAACGTTCTATAGTTTTGTATATGAAGTGATGAAATTTGCATAGGTTAGTGATTGAGGCAATGAAAGGAAACATCCTTTAGAGGGGAAGTGCTAAAACAAGAGGTCACACTTTGAAACTGTTTGGAAACATAGCTCCAGGGAAATACAAGGAAGTAGTTCTTCACGGAAAGGGTGTTGTATTCACGGAATACCATAGTAACATTGGTGGTAAAAGGTGGTTCTGAGGGAGTTCAAAAGTTCTTGCTGTATTAGAAACAATGGAAAAGTGAACCTAAAGGTTTATTCTGCTTATGACTGACAAGTCTCTATGTTTCTCAATCCAACAGGAAATTTCTGGAAGCCAATCAGATCTAGAACACTAGTTTCTAACCTTTATGGGTGTTTCAGCACCATTACCAAATAAAATATAAACTGGCACAATGAAAATTACTTTTTAATTTCAATACAGGTTTTATAGATACCAAAAAATAACAGATACAGTAATTAATTCTGTAGTTCAGCAGTAGGTTTTCTTCCCCTGCTCATAGAATCCTTTATTACTTTAAAGGCATGGCTAGCATGGACCAAGGTGGGATATTGTGATAAGGATAAGTCAATTGTAGTATAGGAAATAGAAGTGAAAACTAGAGGAAGAATTTCATAGAATAAACACTCCTCATAAGGAGACCAATGGTGGCAGAAATATGAAGGCTTCCATTGTTGACATTCTGAAAATGCTAGATGTCTTGCTGCCATGTAAACAGTTTCCGTAATTTCCAAGTCACTTATCTGAAGCAATCATGCAGCAAGTACACTCAAAGGTTTTGAGCTGGATACTTGTTCTGGCTCAATGATTCACTGAACCACAAGTATCAATCAAAATACTTATGGCACCGGATCTGGCAACTAGCATGTTCAGAAAAAGGAATCAGCAATGGCAGGCCACATATTTTTCTCAGCACAGGTTTCTTTACAAAAACTTGTATTGTAGTACTGCTACCTGATTACGCCATCTTTCTGTCTTTACCTTAATTAGTAGATGACAGAAAAGTCAAGTACGTCTGGTGGTAGCAATCAAATGTGATAGTAAAACATAGTTAAGAACCATGTCCAATACAACATTAGAAGATCCCTTGCTGAAGTATTTTTAAAGGTTTTATTTAACCGTAAAATAGTGTTCTGCCCCCTTCTTCCTTACTACTCACCAAGGCCTTAACTTTTAAGGCACATTTACATTCTTGTAATGTGTTAATGTGTGTTATGTAATGCATTAATGTGTGTTGTGTTGAGATTGAGATCCATAAGCTGCCAATGCACCAAAAAGGCATCTAACATATACTTGCGCATTCCCACAACACGAAGATGTAAATAAGCCCTGAATTTCCCCTACATATCTAGCTTGTCCATGTCAATACATTGCATGAAGGAACCTTTTCCCAATGAAAGTCCAAGGGAAATGCTGGGAGTATATGGACATATGCATGCGTTTAACTGAAGAGCGAAGTAATATGTGATTTAAGAAACCAGATTCTAAAAGAGTTGAAGCACCAGAGGGAGACCCTGTTCCAGCATTGCTTCCAATAGCTTCATACTTGCCTTCTGCAGTTGAAGCCTGGCAATGTGAAGATTCATGTACGCAAGCTGTTTGACTTAAAGCTGCTTTTCTGTCCCGTATGTAAATACTAATGCAAAAACAATTCAAAGAAGCTTAATGCAGTTTGATTGTATTCTGAATTTTGAAGCAACTCATTCTAAATGGGAAAACAAAGAAACTCAAATGCAGGTCAAAGCAACTCTGAGTCTGCAACTGTGTACATTAGCCCTGTTAAGATTGCTGAGATGGTGCAGGAGAAGGTTCACAGCGCATACCTCCCAACTGTCCCTCATTTGGAACCAAATCCCTCTGTCCCTCTTTCCTCCTGAGTTGTTCCTCTTTCTGGTCTGATGTATGGACATCTACGAAAAGGGTCTATTTAACTACCAACAGTGTCATTCGGAAATAAAACCTTCATGCTGTCCCTTAAATATCTTGATTGCTCTTGAAAAGCCAGTATAAAGGAAAAGTAATGGTGAAGAAAACAATGTTGGGCTTAACCAATCATTTGTGGCATAAAAACTCTTCACGGTCCACATAACTAGGGGCATAGCAGGGGTGTGTCCATCACCTAAATACATTGTGTTGGAAGGTGTCCCTCTTTCTCATCTCAGAAAGTTTGGAGGCATGCAGACATGGGTCTGTAAATAAACAAACCAAATGGGTGTTGTAAGCTCGTTTGAGCAGGGACCTCCTCACCTACTGTTTCTGTATGTCAATGATGCTTGTCAGTGTTTATTAATTGTCATGCCTACACGATTGTACAGCGCTGCAGAATATTATGGCGCTATATAAATAATTGTAATTAACATAGTCCATTTAAACCATTTAATGAGCTGGTATGGGAGCTGTTTGAGTAAGCAGGTAGTCAGAGAGTAAAGTAGGGATATAGGAGAGTGGAATAAAGAAGAGTTTGGCATCCCAGCCTGTTGAGTAGCGTGTTTTGGGGTGGACTGCAGTCAGTGCATGCTCTATGCAGTCTGTGACAGGAGTTAGGTCTGTATTGCAGAGGGATAAAAAGGTTTTCTCCATATCGGACACATCTGTAGGAAATAAAAACAAAAAAATGCATTACATAGGTTACATAGGACAGTCTAGCTATAAATCAGTAAAATTTTACTATGAATAATAATGTACAGTCACTAACAGAAAACAATTTGCTGTTAGGCATTAGAGTTGATTAGTTCCATGCAAATCTATGTTAAGTGGAGGTGGCTTGTCACAGTGACCAAAAAGGTGTTTTAGAAATATGCCAGGCAGAATTTGCTATGAACAACACTTCAACCATTTCTTTCTTTAAATGTGTTAATAGGTTGAAAAGAACAGTTATTAATATAGTGAGTTCAACCAAAGAAATACATTGAAACCTGTTCCAGAAAAAGGCAAACATTCTTATAAAGCGTGGCCAAATTGGATTGCAGAAGGTAGGTAAGGTTATACATAAAGTACACAGCAAACATCATGTAAGGTGGGTATGTTTATTCAAACGGTAGATACACAGTAGGTAGGTAAGGTTATTAAGCAGGTAGTTGTTGAGGAGGTAGGTACACAGAAGGTAGGTATATCATTTTCAGCAGGTAGGTGCTAACTAGCAGGCTAGCAGTTAGCCTTGGTGCCAGCTGCAGCGGGTTGTGGAAGTGAGTGTCCTGGTTCTAAGAAAGCTATTTGCTGGTGTCAGTTCCTGTGCAAATCTGTTCCTTATTTTATAGCTCTCACAGTAGTTTATGCTAATGTTACTTTTATCTCTTACCATGTGAAAGACTATATAGATGCAGAAAGGACAAAAGACTCAATTTGTACCTAAACAATGGTCATGACACGCTGCCTCCTGTCAGCCCTCCTCCTAAACAATTATCAGGCTACGGCTGATATTGGGTTTACTTGTAACAAGTGAAATGTACCGTTCAAGGGCCGATTCACACAAAAATCAGACCGGAAACATAAGTCAACGGAGGTCTGTTGACTTGCAATTTCAACCTCTGTTGACTTACGTTGTGTTCACAACATGGTCTACTTTTTTTTCAACGCACTGCAACGTAACGCAGTACAAACTGGTCCCATTCACCCCTACATTTTTTAGGTTAGCCTCCATTGGCATCAGTTGACATCCGTTGAAAATTGGATGCTAACAGATTTGGTGTGAATGGGGCCTTAACCTTGGAAGGAAGATGTGGTGTGTAATAGTTTAGTTACTGAAATCATTTTTGGGTCACGCCTTAATGACCAAGGAAACATGTGGGTCCCGAGGTTACACAGGTTGAGAACCACTGGTTTAGTCCTTAGATCCTGCTCTCTAATCAGCTCCTAATATAGAGACAATGGTGGTTGTAGGTAAAAGTCAGTCAGAACGTTACATTTCTGTGAAGTAGTTTTTACAGTACTATTCAACTTGTCATTTGTTTGCATTAATAGTACCACAGGGCATGTGCTTTGCATATCATGAACAAAAAAAAGCACAGAGAAAAGACAGGAACCCATGTACAGTATGTCTCAATTAAAATACCTCCAGCAAAATTGTTCTCATTTAAAGTAAAGCTGTACTGAGAGATATAAGATGGTTGCCATTACTGATTTGTTCTGTTAATGCTAGTTACTAGAGGCTTAACTAGAAATCTCAGGGCCCCGGTGCAAGAAACCATTAAGGGCCATGATTTTGATACCTTTTTTTTTTCTATTAAATAAACAGTATGTATGTTATGACCTTCAGGGCTAGTTCACACCAGCTCCAGTGCTTTCCAGCCCGATTTGGTGCTGGAACACACTGGATCGCATCCCGGCCAGCTCACCGGGTTCTGGGGTGGGAGGGCGCGTGGCGGTGCAATAAAGTCAATGGCACCGCAGGCACGCCCCACGGCCGCAGTGCGATCGCCTGCACCGGAAAGGAAAGGCAAATCAATGCCTGCGTTCCGGTGCGGTCAGAAAAAATAGTGCATGCAAATGGAGATCCCTGACTCCCCCCCACCCACTGCAGCGTCTTCACCATCCCTCTGTCAAAAACACAGCAGGCAGCATGAGTCAGCTGCATGTGGCGGGCCCTCTTCTTTCTCTCTGTGCTCCCCCCAACTGGCCGAACACCAGCTCCCGGTCACAAATGTGTCCGCTGCGACCCAGGGCATTTTCACAAGTATTCGTGAAAATGCCCAGTATTGGCACTGGTGCCTCCCTACTTAATAATATAATGTATTGCTGGGACTTGTAGTCCTGCATAGTTGGTGCTATTCTGTATTGCTGTATAATCATTATACAGCAATGCAGAATACCACCATCTCTGCAAAGACATTCTGGATCAGTAAAACATCAAGAGTTGATAATGGTTAGTATTACAACCAGACAACTAGCATTTTTAAATGTCAGCAATGGCAGCTTCCATGTTTCTCTCATGACCAATTTATGTTAAAGGATTCAATTCTTAAATGACAGGATGCTAAGCTAAATTAATATAAAGCTATAGAACTTACAATGTTCAAAATACTTCTGTCCATAACTGTATTGGATTTCAGGGTGGAGGTTTGTCCAAATATTCTTCAAAATGTTTTTCATGTACTGCATATCATTCAGGCCGGTCTTAAAATAGCCAGGCTCTATAATGGAAACTTTTAGTCCAAAGGGTCTCAGCTCGCGCCTGTCAGTATATACAAACATTAGAGAAATTATAGCTATTGAAAAATTACCCAACCATAGATGTCAATTACATAACCAGATTACTGGTATAACAGCCTCAGTGGGATCCTCAGAAGCATTCTATAAACTCTGTTATCAGCCATACATCGAGTTACCGAGCAGTATAGAAAAAGAGTGAAAAGAAAAAAAAAAAAAGAAAAAAAAAGTTGAAAAATAATCTTGAAAATGTAAAAAAATGGAGAATTAAAATAGTTTCAAGGAAAGTAAAAAAAAGAAAATTTAAAAATAAGATGCCGGCAAAAGAAAAACAATTGGGCGGAGCTAGCAGTGACAGCTAGCTCCGCCCAGTCTTCTAGCAGGTCCCGGCGAATGAACAACTGGATGGTGCTGGCCATGACATCACGGTCAGCTCCGCGCAGTTGTTATTGTTTAATAACAGAACAGCGTCCTCAGGTCATTTGGGGACGGTGATCTGTCATTACAACTGGGCGGAGCCAGCCGTGAGATCACGGCTGGCTCCAACCAGCTGTCATTTGCGTTGTGATCGGTCGGCTTCGGCTGACCTTTCTCCACGCTTCAGCTGTCACTTCGGCTCTGTCGAGCTGAAGTATATGCCTTTGGCTCAGCTGAGCCGATTGGCTGCCTTCGGCTGCTGTACGGGCTATTGCGAATCAAGAAGTGTGTGCAACAATTCTGATTAACTTGTTTTTATGAACTGCATTCATCATTTGTATTACAATAATCAAGATCACTTTTTTATAATCAACTGTTTTGTTTGTTAGTTAGAATATACTTGATAGGTGTACACAGTAAGAAACTATGTTTCACTCATCTGATTACTGGAAACCACACCACTTTCAGAAAAAACTGCATACATGGAAGATAGGAAAATGTGTTCCATATTTGGTAAGTCTGCTATAAGCGTGTTCTGCTGAGCATTAGGAGTGGAATGTATTTCACAAGTAAATGAAAAGAGAGAAATAATTATTTTAAACATGCCACACATGTTACAGGAAAGACCCTTGGGCTAAGCAATATTGTAATAATAGTCTCTCTCACCTCAGACTGTCTGAAAATGCTTCAACTCCAAATTTAGAAATGCAATATCCTCCTCCACAGATAGTTACTCTCCCCACTATACTGGACATGTTAACAATGCGCCCTTTGGATTTTCTGATTAATGGCAAGAGCCTAAGGGTTAAATCAATAGGACCCAGCAAATTCACATTTATAACTCCTTCAAAGTCCTTTTTTGTCAACCATTCATTAGGTGCACCAGGCATCCCAATTCCTGCATTATTCACTAACCCCCACAGACCTGTAAGTCAAAGAAAAGAAATATTAGAAAGGTAATAAAAATAGTTTAAAACATTGCACATCTTATCAAGTCATGAAGGGATATTTGTAAAATCCAGTGGTGGGCTATATTTAATTGTAGACTGGGCAGCTGCCCAGGGCCAAAGACTGAAGGGGGGCCTATGAAAATGCTAAAAGAGTTCCACTCTCAGTCATACCCTGCACAGAGATTTTCCAGCTTGGGGGACAACAATCTAAGCACCAGCAGACTAAGAGCAATCATCATTGGGGCAGTTAAACTTAGCAGTGAACACTTTAAGCACACTCAGTAGCCATCAAATTGTATTTTACTGGAAACACGCACCATTTACAGCTTTTTTTTGTCTACTGTTGCCACATCTAGGCAGAAATGTAACAGAGTTTTACACTATAGTAGCTCTACAGAGGCAAATTTCTTGATTTCCAGTTAGTGCATTCAGAAATTCAGCCCTAACTATTGTAAAATATGATTTAAAAGAAAAGAAAATCAATGCCGGAAACATTTATAGAAAATATGTTACAAAATCGAAATCAGCAACAGGAAAATCCTTTTCTTGGAGTACATTACAGGACACAGGATGTTATTCTGGAACCATGGGTTATGCAGCTGCCCTTAGGAGATTGGACACTAAAATCTATAGCTATAATGACAGCCTTGTATAACCCCTTGACAAAATCCTATTTTCTAAATCGTACATTACTGGACACAGGATGGAATTCTGGAACCATGAGATGTCCAAAAGCAGTCCAACTGTGGGGCAGGCAACACTGCAAAGGACAGGCCCCCAAAAAAACAACAGAGCAACAGGTAGGGTCCTTCAGCATACAAGGCCACTTGGACAACCTTGTGACCAAAGCCAGCATCCACTATTGCCTGAATGTTCACCTGGTTAACGAACATGTGCACTGAAGACCGGGTGGCAGGCCTGCAAATCCGAGAAACTGAACCATTATATTAAAAGGCCCAGGAAGCACTAATGGATCTAGTGGAGTGCACCTTGACTCGAGAAGGGGAAACCTTGCCTTTGAGGTCATACTCTTGGAAAAGGAGTTGCCTTTTCTCCTAACAATAGTGGAGCGGGAGGCTGGCTCACCCCTGTGCGGGCCTTCAGAAGTGACAAATAGAGGGTTGAACGAATGAAAAGAAGCTGAAGCTGAGAAATAGTCCCAAAAGTACTTCATCCAAAGGAAGGTGGTAAATCTCCTTAGAATGTCTTTGTGCAGAACATAGAGATTGTAGGAATGTTCTGGTTAAGGTGGAAGAAAGAAACCACCTTGAGAAAGAAGGAGGCCCTTGATCTCAAAATGTAATTATCCTTGTGTAACACAAGGAAGAGTTCTTTATAAGTCAACTCAGAAACTCACCTTTCAGAAGTGATGTCAACAAGAAAGGCAACCTTTTGATTAAGGGAAGACAGAGGAATATCCCTAATAGGCTCAAAGGGCGGTCTCTAAAGGACCAACAGGACTAGTATGAGATGCCACAGACTCACTGGGGGAATGTACAGGAGAAATGGTATGAGCAACACCCTGTACAAAGGCCTTCATTAAGGTGTGAGAGGCAGGCGGCCTCTGAAGAAAGAAGACAAAACAGCTGAGGTAGAAATTTGACCCTTGATGGTAATCAAGACCAAAAGCTGATCCAACTCAGACTGGAGAAAAGACAGGATTCATCCTATATAGTATTTCCTGGTATGGCATTTTTTTGTCATCATTTCCCCACACCAAGCGAGGCACCCCATCTGAGTGTGATGGTAGACCTTGTGAGAATCTGAAGTTCTACCCAAGCCAGAGTCAGGTCCACTTCTCTTTGAACCGTTAGTAGAGGTCCAGGGTCCTGAGCCATAGGCTTGCACCACACAACTAGAGTCTGGCATACAGACATGGTCGCAATGGCAAGTTACATAGCAGGGCCAAAGTCTTGGAAACGACTTTTAAAAGCCAACGACTTTTAAAAGAACAAAGTCTTGGAAACGACTTTTAAAAGCCAAAGTGTCCTTGAATCTTGAAATGTCTCTTACAGGGGCCGCTAAGTTTTGTTAAAGTCTGTTGGTTGGTGCCAGAGCGACCTACTGCTAGGTGGAAGGTGGGGTAGCTTGCCTAAGGCAAAGAAAAAGTATTTTCACATTAGTTTTGGGGAGCATCGGAAGCACTTTGCCGAAAACCTTTCCACCAGTCACATAAAGAGTGAACAAATATTTAATTTTAGTGATAATGATACTAAACTGACCATTGTCACCGACAAATCCAGAGACCCATGTAGAAACGGAGCTGACACTCTGAGTGTCAGAAATATCCAGTATTACTGTTTGCAGTCGGCTGGATGCTTCTTTCTTCAGATCTTCAGCTCCATTCTGCGTCAGACAAGTGGCCAAAACTATCATTCCCCGTCTGTCCAACTGCCTTGCAAGCTGTTTGCCAAAACCAGAATCACATCCAGTTATAAGTACAAATCTATCTGAAAGATTGTCCAGAATCAGGCTGAGTCTGTGCCTTCTGTACAGGAATATGATCATTACCAGTAATACCACCAGAGGGAGCAACATGATGAACTTTGAATGTGTCTGCAATACAAGATGAGTAAAATGAACACACAAAGCATAACAATATTTTGGATTATTGTACCAAAGGACATTAATATATACAACAATGGTAATCCTACCAGCCCTACACTCGAATGTTGTCAGATTGTTATACTAACTGTGGAATAGTTCATGACCTGACAAAAATTTAAAACTGCTGTATTTAGAATTAAGAAGCCAGTTAGTATCTTGTATCTGCAGCTTTCATCATACATTAGATTGCTTTGTGTTCAAAGCTAAATTAAATGACAGCTTAAAGAAGTCTTGCTTGGCATTTTACTGCTACTTATCTCTGTGCATATGTTTTCAGGGATAACCCCATTAGCTATTTTATAATGTCCAAGGATACTAATCAGCCTTGCAACAATAACCTTTTATTTCTTCCTTTTTATTGCTTGTGCTGTATGAACTGTCATCACAAGCCCAGCCAGTGCTTAGTTTCATGCAAAGTTTCTTGGTATCCATGGGTATATTGAAGCCATACCTACCAGCTTTCCGAGATGAGAAAGAAGGACACCTTCTAGCACAATGTATCTAGGCAATGACCATGCCCCTGACAAACCCTCAGGTATGCTAACTGTCAAGAATTTATGTGCCAAAAATGATTGGTTAAACACAGAATTGTAATATTTTTACAATTCATTTACCATAATACTGGCTTATCAGTATAAGGCAGCAAACTTGAGATCATTAAAAGATATAAAGGTTTTGGTACAGAATAAGACCTGTAGTAGGTAAATAGAACCTTTTTTTATAAATATCTGTACAACAGACCAAACAGAGGGACAAGCAAGGAGGAAAGATGGACAGAGGGATTTGGCTCCACATGAGGGACAGTCCTTCCAAATAAAGGGACAGTTGGGAGGTAGGTTAAAGCCTATATATTACCCATTTTCACCCTTCCAGCTGATTTTGTTTACCTTGTAAAGCATTTTTATACTAACCTAAATCTGCTTTCCATGTCCTTTGTTGGTGCTATCACCCAGAGTGGGGGACAACTAACCCAGCGATGGTGGTGTGCCTTCATCGCCTGTTCCCTGACTGTTTCATCTCACTGACCTCACCACTGATACTTCTCTTCTAAATCCTGAGAGGACCCCGCCACTGGACAGTCAACAGGAAAACTCACCTCTTCAGGGAAGCCTATTCCACCTCCTCCTACAAAATGTACATCTACTTCTTCAATCAGCTCATCCCTCACAGTTACTACATTCTGTATCACTTGCCCCTTCTTGTAGATTGTAAGCACTCACGAGCAGGGTCCTTCTAATCTTTTTGTATGGTATTGTAATTGTACTGTCTCCCTATATGTTGTAAAGCACAAACTGTTGCTGCAATATAAATCCTATGTAATAATAATAACAATAGGAACTGTCCATATCATGCAGGCAGTGATGTGGACAATGGAAGAAGGAACCTGCCTCCTGTAAAACATCCCACAACCATTGTTTTAGGTGGGTAAAAAATGCATTTAGGTTTTATGTTTTTTTTTTCTATCCCAGTAATTAGTGAGAGGGGGAGCCTAGAGATCAGCTTTAAAGTGCATTATAATTATAGGGAACATCTAGAAATGTTGATTTTGCTTAAGCAGTACCTTTAGTCTAGAATTCCTCCTGAAAAATAGCGCTGCATTTCCTATTATGTTAGTATACCTAGGTGATCCTGTTCCTACAGCCTCACAACTTTATATCTGCAGTCAGTGTGAGATCTCAGACTCTGCTGCCTCCGTCTGCTAGTCTTAGTATATTTGGAGTGGTATTTGTTCATTTCACTGCTGTGCTATTCCTACTCACTGTTCACTTTGCTGTAGACTCTCCCTCTTCCAAGATGATGGCTGCCATCACACAGAGAGACTATGCAGAACGAGGCATGGTAAATCAGTAATGGAGAGAGATCAGCTGTAGGCAGACCACAGGCAATACCGTTGGCCAATTCTTTGTCCTCTGTTTTGTTTTCTGGGGCACAGCTTACATAGATTAGTTGCTTTTCCCATAACTGGACAATTGAACTAAATCTTCACACAACTCTTTCAGTGAAGATGCTCAACTCTAATAAACCATCTCTAGTGTCTTTAAAAGTGCATATACCAATGTATTTCCACAGGTTATCTCCAGCATTTCTACCTGGTTTGACAAATTCTTATACACATCCGCCTCCAACATTTTTAGGCCGAGTAGCCACAGGAAGACACATTCTGTGATGAAGAAGATGCAGGCCTTAGACCAGTACTGGATATGGTTAATACATTTCCTCATTCCTCCATCCATACAACATGGCTGATTTATTTGCAATATATTTTTTGTATTTAATTGTTACAATCACTTGCTATGCCATTGTTAATATATAGTGTACATACAGCCTCAATGTCTGCAAAATCAATAGCACCACCCTCCCATCACTGGAATACGCAGGCCAGTATGCTCCCCCAAGATCACTGCATGTCTATCTTTTGTTGTGTTTCACCAGAATGCAAATGGGCAGGTCTGGTCATCCACACTGCCATCCTGAAAATCTAAACCACATGAGATGCTGTAGTATTTTCCTTATAAACAGTAGCATGACCTCCATCAAATAAATAATGAGTACTATACTGGCCTGTAGTGGTTGAATAATATAAGCCTTACCTTGCTTGATGTCAGCTCTCAACAGATAGACATCCAATTATACTTTTTCATGTCCTAGATTCAGTCTGAAAATCATTAACTATCCTGGTTTACAGGTCTTGCATTGACATGACACAAAATACACGACTGTGTTAAAGGGAAAGTATATTCCTCTATTTTTGTTCTTTTAGATAAAATAAGTTCTACATATAAAAAATATAGATGTGTGTATACACATACCAACACGCAAAAAAACCCCCTATAATTAATAATGAATGGGATGACCTGCCAACTTTATTGCCACAAATATGTTTCTGTATACCAACACCTAACTCTTATCTGCAACCTGCTATCAAGCTTCTTTTAAACCTATTTGTGTGCCTCGTCCAACCTGCAGTGTTTGTAGCAGCAAATCCACCAAAAGTTCATGTCTTTCACTGCCATGTTATAATACACTGTCATGCCACAATTCTGCACCATACAAGACACTACCATGAGATGCAAGAGAATACTAAAGACTTCCAACTTACAAAAATAGACTTTTGAGGGCTGCTTTACAAGAGAGTGCTGTCATGTTACAATAGACTGAAATGTTATACCCTAACTGGAATGAGCAAAAGACAAGTTTCCCTGTATGCTATACATTTAAAATCAAGCTCAGGTCCTAAACAGGCCAAGAGATGTACAGTAATGCACCCTGACAATGCGGCTAAATTAATCAAATGTGTCTTGTCTAAAATATCCACTGCACATTACAGGTTACTCATGGAAGAGGCTGGACACAGTGCAGAAACTATCCTAAAACTATGATGTCATAGAAGGTCTGTTTTATCAAGTCAAGATGGATCAATAAGGAAGCAGAACTTTGTGCTGGATAACACTGAACTGGTGCTACCACCACACCACAAAAACAGACAGCTGTTGAGCCAAGTTTTTTTTAAAATCAAGAACAAACTATTCCGTGCTTTAATCTGCCCAACATACTTCCTGCAAATAAAAATTACAAGCATGATGATCTAACCTGATCCACCCAACGAGATACACCCAGCCTGTATCTGACATGCCCTTAAATCACCTAACACTGTTACTCTGTAGGCATAATATTTTAGAAGCCACAAAATTAACCTTTTGTTGTTAGAAACTTACTGTAGTAAGTGACAGCAAGTTTCAACTTGACTTCCATTATCTAATATTAAAGTGAATCCTCAAATCATCTCTGAACTGATGCTAACACTGTCCTTCCTTCTGGAGACCTACTTTTGTTCCCGATAGTCCCTGTGTGTGTTGTAAGGTAGCCACCAATCCAAGCTCACTCCTGTGATGGACTATAATCTCATGTTTAGTTTACTCATTTGTATTAAGATTATATAATTGTATAACATATCATATACAGCACAGAGTATAGAGTGCAGTGGTAAGAAGCATGTCATATAAAGCACATATAAAGCCCAAGGTACAGAGTCAGTGGAATGCCATAAAGCCCAGTGTGCAGAGTGCAGTGGTCAGGAGATGTGTCATATGCAGCTCAGTGTACAGAGTGCAGTGGTCAGGAGATATGTCATATACAGCCCAGTGTACAGAGTGCAGTGGTCAGGAGCATTTCATATACTGCTCAGCATACAGAGTGCAGGAGTATGCTAAATACAGCTCAGCGTACGAAGTGCAGCGGTCAGAAGCATGCCATATACAGCCCAGTGTGCAGAGTGCAGTGGTGAGCAGTATGTCAAATACAGCCCAATGTACAGCGTGCAGGGGTTGAGAGTTTGTTGCTTGTTTTTGTACCTTCTCACACGCTGTATTTACACCTGGGCTCTTTTCTCTGTACAAGATTTCGAGGAGCGACATGGCTTTATATTTTTATTTTAATTACAGCAGTTATATTTATTTTTATGTACGCTGCCTGCTTGCTAAATAAAATTGCTGCTAAAAATAAAATCAGAAAAAAAACCTGCAGATAGCAAAGAAGCTATTGCTTCCTGTGCCATCTGCCATCATTTCAGGGGGGGGTGCTCTCTCCCAGCCCCCCTAACCCCCCTCCGCGGATGGGGGGGGGGCGTAGAGGGCACCTCCCTGAAATGAGAAGGATACCTCCCTGAAATGGCTTCTTTCAGGTTGGGATCCCTGTGCATAGGTGATATAAACTGATGCCCACAGGTCCAGCCTTGCCCTTGCCCCAGTGTCCAGGCTACTGAGCCAAGAATGGTGCCTGGAAACAGATGTCATATATTCATTGCATATGCTGGGATAAGCTACTATTCATAAGCTTGAATCACTAATCCTATGACGTTGCCAGTCAATAGACGTCGTTTACATTGGACATGCATATGGAGGTGGCATGAGTGGATTAGCAGTGGGGCAGTCCATGTTGCCTAGCAATAGATGCCAGTGCAATATTT